CGTGATTCTCGCAGTGAACGGAAAATGGTCTAATCACACCTGAATGTACCAACCATTGATGATGTGTTCCCATTTTTAAAATAAAACCATCCTGCCAGAGGGGCTTTTCATTAAATATTTGTTGATAAAGTGGAACTGTAGAGAAAATAAACAACGAACAATTGTGTCATTTTTCACTGGATGGTGAATCGGCAAACATAAGGTTTATTTTAAGCACACGTGTAAATTTCACATGAATTAGTAAATTGTGAAACAATGGACAATTACGATAAAACACACCATATATTGTTTGCAATGAGGATAAACTCCAGAGAAAAATTCAACATAATGATTAATCCTGAAAAATTGTGATTTATATAAAAATCAAGTGGCAACAGCTCATTGATGTAAGCTGTCTCTTGATTGGCCATTATTGATTTCCAGAATTTCACCCTCTGTTGAAAAAAGTCCAATTGTCACCTCTAACTGATGAGGGCATACTAAGTGTGAACTGGCAATTGAGTGGAACAAACAAAGGCACATTACATACCATGTGATCAGTGAAAACGACAAATGATTGTCTGAATAGGGTGGGCACACACCAACTTTTTCTCACTCAGAATTGATTATGAATTGTCCGTTTCTTGGATCGTGTGTTCGATTGTGGCTTTCTTCCCCAGCTGCATTTCAACATGTTTGATCTAATTTCAGTTAGTGTTCCTTGGTGTATTGATTATATCATCCCTGTCTCGTTAACAGGGTGTTTGTATACCCTGTGTTGGCACTCCGCCACCATCTGCCTGGACCTTTTGTTGGCATCAATAACTGAGGTCATAACATGACTTATAGTGGGTATTTCACTGTGGCAATGTACAGCTCCACCATACTATTGAACCATTGTCAAGCAATGAATAGGGGCAGGTGCACTACTGTATACACTTCTAGCTAGTTTCTATCGGTGTTTATCCTACAGATCAGGGTAGTGTCACAATCTCCCAACCCCCACTCACCCTCAACATTTTTCATAGTTATTTCGGACTGTTCCTTTTTATTCAATTGTTATAGAGGGGGAACATGAATATATGATGGGTAATTTGACTGATTGTTAGCATACATATGTTTGCCCATCGTTATGCCTATTGATCCCCCCTATGGGTATAATGGAATCTCTGCCTGAGGCTGGCTAATAGGTGCGGGTTTGACCTGTCTTTTACATTGTATTGAGTTGTGTTTAAGGAAGTAAGGCTTACCTCACGGTGGACTGCTTTATTCTTAGTCTACTGTTGTGACTGTACCTGGGTATTGATTTTTCCTACACCCAAACCTGACTGGATCTCGGAATTAACATTGCAAGATGGCGTGTGAGAAATCCTGAAAGCTGCTTTACACTATAGTGTGCGATTTGTGAGGGCAAGCTTGGTAACCTGTTAGCCTTATTGTAGCACAGACAAAGGATTTTACATTCCAGTCCGGTATACTATCGGCTATGACCAGCACAAGGGAGGTGACCACTCGATTCAACAAAGGTAAACAGTCTGAATATTGTCTGAACATGGCAGCAGGTTTACATGCTGGAGCAGGTCGTATCCTACACTGTGTGTATTTCATTATGCAAAGTGGAAGATCCGATTCATTCATATCAATCGGGTGTTTTTCATTACTCGGTTACAATGTTTTCCAAACTACTGCCCTTCTACTATCACCACATACTACGTGTATTCTCATTGTTTGGTGCTAATAGTATACGTGGTCGCCGCCACCGCAGCACATGCCGTAAATAATTCATACGCATCTTTGTCGGGTGCCATCTAATCCACTAATGGAAAATTAAAAAAAACGACCATATGCATAATTTCTATGCCTCCTTTAAAAAACAACAATTCAATTCAATATTCTAAGCCAACCAGGTGGTGCCTTTTTTAGCAGAGTGTCTACTGTGATACGACCTAATAAATGGAAATAAATGATACTAAAAATAAGGTGATCTGCTGTGTAAATGAGCTTGTAATGTTTTCATGATTGTTAGTGTTTCAAACAGGTCAGAGTGCATGCTTCAGTGCAAATTGTTTTGTTTTTGGGCAGGGGGGGAGGTCGTCAATAAAACACAAAGAGATCTACTGAAGTTCTATTGCAGAAAACAGTAAACAATAGCTGTGAATTGTGGATTAAAATAGCTCATATGCAATAATGTAGCCAAAGTGTGAAGAGATCCTGTTTGTCTTCACTTAAAAAGAAAAACCTATAGATAACCACAGCTGTTGAACTGTGTGGGCTATTGTGCTGTAACATGTGCCACTTAATACCCAGTAATGAGCTTGAAAAGGGTAGAGAAAATCTGGTTAATCTAATCGATGAATGGGTTAAATTGTACCATACTGCTAGGCTCTTTAAGCGTATACACTATTATGTTAGCATTTGTAGGGACTCCTCTATTTAGTGTTAATCCAAAATGGTGGAAAGAAGCATGTAAACACAGACTTGGTTGCGGGAGATCTTTATAATTTATAGTGTTTTCCTTCCATTGCCAGCATCATAATTTTATCTATTAGAAGTAAATTTTCCATTTCATTGACTAAAAATCATAATAATTAGTGTTTAATTGTAGATTATTTTTTCACACCATGAATATTTACGTTTGTTTATTTCTGACTGACTCGTTATGGTTTTAACCAGAATATGTATTTTCCATTCACCATATGTTGGATGGCATTGTAGTCGGTTAATTAAAACCCATTTTAATGAGGGTGGGTAACGTGAGTGAGCAGGATTTACATTTACACCCGCCAGCATATTTCCGTTGTACAACCACTAAAAAAGCTTTTGTTTTGAGCGCTTGCTTAGAAGGGTCATGCCAGTAGCCACAGACACTCTTGTTTGATTATATCGTACATGTATGCCGGCAAAAATATTTAAAAAAAAAAAACAGCACACAAAAAACAAATTAATTCGCATGTTACAAAGATTTATAACCTAATATACTGTATAGTGTATTTTGCATGCCATATTGCCGATGATGACCTGAGGTCGCCAATCCACTTCGATACCCGCAGTGTTCTGAACTGTGGCAATTTATTCTATACCCCCTTTCCACCTCCATACCTTTGTAAGTGGAATAAACCTGGTGTATGGTAATGAACAATTTGGGTGACACCATTGTTTTTAGAGGGTAGGTAGCTTATTTCAAATCCAACAGGTTGTATAAAAATTAGAGGTTACGGAATATAAAGCTATGACGACACACGAACAATTTATGCGTTGCTTAGGCGTCTGATGTGCGCTCGTGACATTTTATTTAATGAGATACTGGTCATAGTGATGACAAAACTGATACATGTTTTATTGTTTCGTGGTTGCTGTAACCGATTTTATTAGCCAAGCACTGTTATTTTAGTTTATGGAGCAGACTGTAAACAGGAAGATCCACTTCATGTTGGTTTGTTTTCTTAGTATTGAATTACCTGTAATGCTGGCTAGAATGTTTAGTTAAGAGTGCATACATACATTGGTTATTCACAGTAATTTCAGGTAGTATATGTAGATTTCTAGGGTCAGCTTGGAGTATGACACCAGACCAATATGTACATCACCAAATGGTTACACGCCTATACACTGCTATTCAAAGTAATCGTTGGCAATCAGCTTGCCTGCTCGTTCCTAACCTAGTTATTTATTTTTACTGCTGACCCATGTAGTGTTATATAAAGCAAGTCACGCTGTTAGGTCAACCTTGCTGGCAGTAACAGACCAACTTGTAGCCACACTCAACGCTTGGCTGATCCCATACACAATGCGAGTAACTGAGAAGAAAACGAAAAAAAAAAAAACTGTCGCTTTTATTAGTGATCTGTTATTATTAATCTTGTCACTTCTGCAATGTTTCTTCCCAGGAATGGGTAGTGACGATAAACTTTTAGATTTTTTTATTATCTAGATGCTTGACATCTTGGGAAGCAGTCAGGGGGTAATACATTTACAAGTACGTTTACCAAGATGATAGTTCACTTTAAGTGGAAATCATTAACATGGGAATTAAAAGTGAAGGGGGGGTACAGGTGACTGGTTGAATGCGTGACCTCTAGTGTGAGGGTGTGTAATAGTGTCACAAAAGTAACTATAGCATTACTAATGCATTGTATACTCTCATTCATGTACAGTCAACTATGAAAGCGAACTCCCCTATAATGTAACATTAGAGTCTAGACTCTCAGTTGGAATTCAAAACATTTTGTTTAATCTTTGATTGCTGGACATTTTTTTTAATTTTATATATATAATGGTTGTGGGAAAAAAAAAATTGCTTCATTTAATCAGCAAGAGCAGAGAGACAATTACTTTGTATGTGCAGACATGCCGAGTCTCAGTAGTCAAATTGCTGAAACTTTAATAGCATTTACCTCTGGGGGTCACGACAGCTATCAACGCAGATCACCCGGGGTCACGCTTGTTCTTTATTTATAATGCCTACATCGTACATCATATTATCTACCGATTTGAAGCAATATCCAAGCTCTTTTGCTTTGCCGTCCTCATGATTGTTAAAGCGATGTCTCATTACTGCCAGTTTAACCGCAGCTTGTTCTTCGTGCTTGCCTCATTTGCATGATTTATTTTGATTGTGTAATCAAGTTGAAGCTTAGACGTTCAGTGGCAGATTGTTCGATGCAGTGATTTATACTTGGAAACCGATGTGTTAAGGAATGTTGGTCAATACATAGTGTGTTCGCATGATAGGTTTTCGGTCCCATTCACATGTAAATTCTTGTACTTTCCTCGCATATCCATGGTTTTGCTTGCCATGACACGGTATAACTTTATGCCAGCATTGATTCTGTTGGGATCACACTTCGTTTGATCTTATCACATTGTGGTCTAGCCTAATTTAAAGTTCTCAGTGTAGTATATCCTGCCCATGGTAATTCAGATAATTTATGACTGTTCAGAAAATCCTTTGGTGTTAATGGATGTACCAGGTACATACATGTTTGCTTGTATTTATATATATTTTTTTCATTATATTGCAGGGGTATCCCATGGTGTTAAACCACCCCCCCTTACTATGGTATCATCCGGTTCTAATAAGCCAAATAGGACTACGGCAACTGTAACACCCTTCAGCAATTCTGCCAGCACTGTTACTGTGACAAGTGGAAATACGGCCAATGCAATGTCTGCTACACGGACTTCTAGCTTTGCAGCCGCACTGCGAAAATTGGCCAAGCAAGCAATTGACCCAATAGGTAGGAAAATTGTATAACATTAAATTTATTCCTGTGATGATCATCATTTTATAAATACCATCATTTGCAGAAATGAATTTAGATGGCAGCTGAATTGCTGTCAATTTTAGAGAAAATTCACAGCACTTGGAGAATATATTTATCATCGTGTAATTTTTAGAAATGTGCCAAACTCCGGTTTAGCTACATGTTTTTTTCGGTTCTAAAAATATGAAAAAACCCCAATTATAGCTATTTCAATTTTAGCTATTGCTGTGTAAATTGTTTCTATTCATTATTTATTTGTATTAGAATTTTAGAATCACAAAATGTGCTTTTTACTTTTCTCGTCCCACCCCTTTTCCGTGGATATTCCAGCTCAGTTACAAAAGAAAGAAAGAATAAAAAAGAAAAGAAAAGAATGGTGTCCTTGTGTACAATTCTCTTATCGTCAGTCAAGGGTCAAGCTGTTTACTCGCACCATTGAAATTCAGTCAACTGCGTTACAACATGATATGATTGAATTCGTGAAAATATTCCCTCCTTTTCTTGGCCCTTGCTTGAGTTGGGAAACCATACTAAATGTCATCACCTCTGATCCTGTCTTACTGCAAAGTGTCATTTAGTTGTAAAAGCGGGTACTGCGATTAAGTGTGAAAGCTGCAAACGAGTCGGTGAATGGATGAAGTAACAAGCACTTCTCGAGGGAAATAATATAAAAGACGCACATAAACCCTTACTGTGTGTTGTCAGAATGAGAATCAGATGGAGCATGAGCTGAAAGTACAATCACGTCAAAGGCCAGTCGACCTCTAGTGTGTCTCTGCGGAGTTAAACATGCGAAGGTCGTAACCCATGCTATAGAGCGCAGTACAAGAGATCTCCTTCGGTTTTGTGTAGCGGTGTATTTGCATACCCAAACACGTATACCGGTACCTCTGACGTCTCTAAATAAGACAGTTAGGTTTGTCCGCTGCCAGTCCCTAACCACACACTCTATTTTTCACTACAGGCAAGGAAGAAGCCTCACCTGCAGTATCCCCAGCCAGTAGCAGCCACAGTGCTTCATCGACACCAGCAGCCCATGCAGCTGTCAATAAACCCGTTCAACCACCGCCTTTAGTTCTACCAACCAGTACTCCCCCTGTGGTGACCATAGCACCAACCCAAAATGCCAACTCGCATGGGTACGGAGAAAGAAGGGTAAGTGAAAATGAAAAACGTTTGGTATTAGTTATTGTCAACAAGTTGTAAATATTTAAAATTAGAAATATTTTGATTGATTTTTCGTCTTAGTGTACTGGTACTGTAAAGTCATTTATTTTCACTGGCATTTAATTTCACCTTTTTGATATTTTGAGCATATTAACAGGATTTTAAGTTCACAAATTTTCCATGGAAACAAATACCGATAATTATATTGGTTATATTATATGACGTGGATTTAATTTTGCTGATTCATTTATCAGCGAAAAGAGCAAAATTAAAACCTAGACTAAATAAGCATTTACAATATTTTATTGTATACATTATTTTTTGATGCATGTCCCAAATTGAAACAAATACTGCAAATACATCAATTATTTTTCAATGATTTTCAATTTTGCTATTTTCACTGATAAATCAAAAATAGAATAGAAACTCGTTGTTTCGCTAGCAAATTCTTAATCCTAAAATGCAGTGAATATGCACAAAATAGTGAATTAAATGTCAGTGAAAATAAATGGTTTTACAGATTTCTGTTTCATATTTCATGTATAATTTAATTTAATCTGTGTTATTATTATTTCTATACACATCCATCTCATTTATTGCAAGTTCACCTCACAAAAATATAGTAAGAAATGTCTACCTTAAAAAAATAAATATTTTATTAAATTGAATTTTAGAAGGAGTCTGCTTAGTCAACGGAAACATTGATTTATAGATACAACCCCAAGGGATCAATGGAAAGTCATCTACTCTTTATAAAAACATCTGTAATTGGTTTAAACCCCACTAACAGCCACCATGTGACTATTATCTACCAGTGAGAAGAGAGGTTGCATAGTACTCTTAGCTGATGACCCATGTAGTTTGATTTATATTGATATCACCTGACAAATTGATGAAATACCACTATAGGGGGATTTTAAGATGGCTTAATCTTGTCTCATCACCATATATTATTAGCTGATAGTGTTCTCCCTGATTGTCGTGCTGCATGATAATTATTGGGCTAATCAGACCTGAATGGGAGGAAATAATTGTTAACTGTATTGAGGTCTTTAAAGGTGTATTCCTGCCCCGTCGCTTCGTATTGTGACTTCGCTCTTCTTGAGGTGTGCTATAATTGAGTGGGAAGTGAAGTATGAAATCTGATCTGCAATTCTCGTTAAATTAAAGGAGAGTCTGTGAAAAACGTGGTCTGATTCTGTTATCCAATGGGGGTACATACAGTTCAGTGATCATGCAAAATCTGAATACATGAATTATGGATTTATATCTGCTATGATATGGCTGTATGTGGGGCTTGGTGTCGCTTATTTCATAATCAGACAGATCAAGTTCACACTGAAAGTGGTTGTTTATTATTCCACGAACAACCTTGTAAGTGAAATGAATCAATATAAAACGACAATGGATTCTGGCGGTTTGTTTTAATTTCAATGAGGTGGAAACATCAAGATGAATTTGACTAGAATGTTGTCTGAGGCTTTTTATTTCCTACTCCATAGTACTTGTTATAGTATACTAATTACTGAAATAGAATCTTGATGTTTTCCTGTCATTACCCCAAATTTCCATATGATTGCATTATTTTTCAGACTTGGATGAGTAATTCATTAAACGGATCATATAGTGACATCCAACTGTGTTTAGTTTCTCAAGCTAGTCACATGACCAGGCTTAATTTTTTATGGAAACCAATTCATAGCAGTACATTCACAGTCACATACAGCCACATAACTAATCTATAAAACCTATGATAATGCGGATATGTTAATTTTTGTGTAGCAATAACAGCTTTTTTTTCAAGGTCGACCATCATTTTCGGATTAGTATGAGCAGCTCTTTTAATTTGTGTGCTTAGACATTAAGTATTGAGGCAAATTTTCACAAAATTGGATGATGTCACGTAATAAAAACAAATTTCATTCCAATGTAGCATGATTCTGGCGTACACGCAGGGTGACCAATGGCAATGTATTATCTACGGTCATATTAATATGTGATTATCTGTGTAGGTAACTTTGTTGAAAAAAAAGCACATCAAAGCATTGATTAGTTGTTTGTAAAATTAAAAAAAAAAAAAAAAACGATGAGCCATTAGAGTGGAATTATATAATGTATAATCGTGTTGTGACTAATATCTCTTTCAGGAAGAAGAACATCAAGAGAGGTCTAGTTCGGAGAGGCATATTGGAAGACGATCACCAGATATTCACATAAAGCAGGAAATGGCACCGAGCTTGCCAGCTTCGTTATCTATTACAAACACAGTGGCGTCGAATTTAGCAATTCCCTACAGGTATAATATGTATGTATTACTTTGCATTGAGGTCCTTGTCGGCATCTGTGCTATTGAAAATTTCAATCTCCTAAACCTGAACGAAGAATGTAGAAGCGTAACACAGAAATTGGAAGAACTTTGACATTTTGGGAAATGTTTACGGTTTCATTTTTAGGCAAGATTGTGTTTTTTATGTAGTTGCCGGTGAGGGTGTCAAATTTTATTGTCAATAAGCATTTCTTTATATTTCATGTTTTTATTATAATTACACGGTAAATGCTGATTTAATTCTATTTCCTTCCGTGATTTGATTTAAAATCACTCATTGTTTACTTAACAATACATTGTTTCTACCGATATATGGGATTTCTACTGTCAATGTATACATTTGTGTTCATTTTACCAATATATGGGATTTCTACTGTCAATGTATACATTTGTGCTCATTTGCATAATAACAATTTTTCTACTGCGGGTAAAGGGTGTGGTAAGGTATTTTCAACCAACTCCCAAAGCTAAGCCATCTGTGGTATTGAATTTTGAATTCTAATACTTTTCATATGATACATTTTTATGAAATACTGTGTTTTTTAGTGTGGGCCTAAATTTCCGTTGAATTTTAATTTATAATCTTAAAATCAAATGATTTTTTTTACATGCTGATATTATATACCTCCTTCAACAGTGTATTAACCTGTTATACGAGTTGCATTCAGAATATCCTCTACTATTTGTAACATTATCTATAACACTTAATACCTTAAAATGTAATAGCTGAGATGAATCGACCAATATGGCATAGAAATTAGTAATAGGGAATCGTAACCGTGACGCGAATCCATAATCAGTGTAATAACTCATTATTTCAATTTCAAGATGAGATTAATGTGGTTTTTAAAATAATGTTCTGGAACAGGAGGCGTTTTTTTCATTATGGCTTAAGTATCATGTAATATTAATGCATGTGAGGTCGTTTGGGGTGGAGTTGGTCAAATTATGATATATCGATATGCCAAGCTGCTACACATTGTTTGTCTTTCATTGTACAATTATTTTATCTGCGAATACAGAATTATCTATGTCAGATTTGTGTTTAGTTATGATATATGCAAACATAAAATTTGTTTGGTGGATTATAATCGAGAAAACGTGTTGAATGTGTATGAAGTGTTGACATGATTTCAGAAGCCCCGGAATCTGAATATTGATATAACTGGAGGGTAATGCAGAGAATATTAACTATTAGAGATACGATTTTTGTGTTCGGAACCATATGTCACTATACAAGCATTTTTTTTCTCGCCTACTAATGGTTTTTATTCTTGATGTCTTTCTAGACCTGTCCCTCATCACGCAAGGAAGGAGGAGATGTCCCCGCTGTCAGCACCCAGAGGATTTCAGCCCTACCGGCATGGAGAGGAGGTGCGGCAGCCTCATCATTTGTCTTTTGACTTGAATCATCCTGGCGGGTTCCAGTACCCTCCGACATATCTTCCTCATCAACCCCCATTCCAGTACCCCCCATTTAGGTGAGTAGGTTGTTCAAGCTTTGCTGGACCTCATGCATTTTATTTTATTTTTACCCTCCCCTCCTGGATTCACCTGAAAGAAATATGTGATGCTCCAGCCAGGATTCGTTATTAATCAGTTTTGTGAAAGACATAAAAGGATACCTAACCTTTAATTTGTTAATCTTCTATTGTTGATCTTAGAATAACAAAAAATGCTGTGTGTATCGATATTGGAAAATAAATTGTCAAGAAATCACCTAATTCACTGTGTCTCTCCTAGACCTGAGGACATCTGTGAAAAATAGTCAAATTTTTCCTTACTCCTTGTGGCTTGCAAGCTTTCTTTTTACAACCAGTCTTTGTTGGGGTCACTACTATCCACTGTTTGACTGTCTGTTTGCGTTCTGGTAATTCTTTAAACAAATAAAAATGAATAATTGATCGTCAGTTTCAGATACAAATATGTTTATTTTACCATTTCACGTATTTGGATAATGATCTGTCTACTGTGTTCGTGTGTTTAACAATATTCAAATACAGTCATCAGTCAGCCATGTTTAATTTACCATCTTATTGAATTACAGTGTGTATTATTAAGTAATCTGCAATATATAGCTTGTATAATTATTTCATTATATTTTCATAAAATTTCTAACGTTATATTTTATTTTTGAGTTATATTCACTCCAGAAACATTACCCTCTGTGCTCATTGAATTTCCCTTTTTTTTCACACTCATCAAACCTTGTCAGCCAATTTAATTTAATTTAGTCTTCAATAACACATGTTATCTAAATGTTACTAATTGCCTGCAAAAGCATGTTTTTTTTTCATTATTTTTTTTTTTAAATACCAGTAGATGGAATTTTCAATTTGTTATTAATTTTTGTTCTGTTTTGTATATACAGTCAAACCTGTGTATAACGATTTTTTTTTTGTAGATCTATAGCTCAAACATTTGACATGACCAGAGAGATAAAATGCTACTGTTGTAACTAACCACATTTATTTGAGTTGATCCTCAAAATCAAAATAAATAAGTTTGACTTAAAGAAATTAAAAATTTGTTTTATGCTACTGTATTTTTTTAACCGTTTTGTTAGACTAATTGAAAGACCCTGGGGAAGATAAGCTTAAATCTTGATGTTTACCAGGTTACCCTCATAAAATAAGATTCAGTAAATAAATAATAAATAAAAAAAATAATTTTATAAATGGAATGCAAATTATTATTCAGATTCTTAATTACAAAGCTGAATCCGAAAATAATATTGCTGAAAGGGTGGTCACATCAGACGCATGTTTAACTGTACTTGTTGCTATTTTTTGTCATTTGTCTTAGCTCAAAATATTAATAATATTCATAAAAATTTTAAGCTATAATCATGATTAGTTATCAAGTTTTTCTTCTTCTCCTTTTTTAAGGTTGGAGGATCACTATGATCGTTATGGCATTCCTGGACTTCGACCACCATTCCTACATTTACACCATCCTGGACAGATGCTCCCACAGCATCACCCAGCGATGCCATTCCAGTATCCGGGAGTAAGATATCCACATGACTTGGGACTGGCACATACCTCACCCGGTGGCCGACCCCAAATGGTTCCATCTCCACTGTTAGCAATTGATAGGTAAGTCGCATTACTATGCCAATGATACAACTAAGGGATTAGCAACTTTCCCTTTAAATGTATCCACCCCTATAGCATGCTTATTAAAGCGGGAGGGTTGTCACTTGCGTATGCATGGGAATTGAGTTCCAGCCAACGATAACAACGCGCACAGAAAACACAAAGGCTCATAGGAAAACAATGACACGCTATGCCCATCTACGCATGCGCAGGTGACGACTCCCCTGCTTTAATATTCCAGAAGTGAGGCACGTTCATTCAAGTCTGCAATACATGAAAGTCGTAAATCTCCTGAAGGTCAAATTGATTCAAGCTGGAAAAGTGTTAACATGTTGCAGAAGGAATCAATTTATGTTCAATTAACCCACACGCATTTCTAATGGAGCCCTCATTACGTACACGTCTCATTTACACGAGACCCATGCTTCTAATTTTTCTGTTGATTTGAAAGTACACTCTCATCCTTTAATACCACGTGGCATTCAGGCGTGACAACGCTGTAATCCACGCTTGAAATGGCAGTGATGCAGGGTAACCCTTGAAAACCTATTAGCTAAATTATACCCCCCCTCCCTCTACAAAATAATCAACTTTATAACATGAAGAATAAAATATTTACAGCCGCTCTGTTCAATAAAGCGCTTTTATACTGTCGTTTAAACGTTTTTTTTTACACAACTGAAAACATCCTATCATTGTATTAATCTTTCCAAATTTAATTAATTATTTATTAAAAATTGTGAGTGGGTGGGTGGTGTGACATAAAATGTGGAGATAATTTTAAAACATATATGTGTGACAGTGACTCAGACGACTGATTTCCTAATATTCTTGACAATGTCGCCAAACCTGTCTTGACGTCGTTAAATTGTAATTATCTCATTAGTAGAGGAGACCATTTAATTTGGGTTATTATCTTTTAATTACACCGTAGCCTGAATTTTTTTTAAATTTTAAATGTTTACCTGTTAATTTACTGTTGTGTCTGGAATGTGGATATACATGACATACTGTAAACATTTTGTTTTTTGCTGCTTTGTTTTGTCTCGTTTTGATGTTTTTCATGGCACGAGTGAGGAGAAAGTCGCATTCAATCTCCAAATCCATGGGAAAATTTTCCTGCTAAAAAATTTCGTAATTTTTAGTGAATGTTAAAAATTTCCCCTCGCTAAATCAAGGGTTTGTTGTATATTTAAATATTCACGATGCTTTGTAATTGCACCACATACATATCTTACATTTGTTGTAAAATGCATTTTCTCCACTGCATCTTATCTGATTCCCCCAAAATCCAAATATTATTTTTTAGCTTAAGCTTTTTTTCTTTTTCCTTCCCCAGGCAAAGAATGGAACAAGAACACAGGGAACGAGAAAGAGAGCGCGAGAGAGAAAAAGAAAGAGAGCGAGAAAGAGAGAGGGAGAGGGAAAGAGAACGAGAAAGGGAGAGAGAAAGAGAAAGGGAAAGGGAAAAAGAAAAAGAGAGGGAGCGGGAAAAAGAAAGGGAGCGGGAACGAGAGAAGGAAAGGGAAAGAGAGCGTGAGAAGGAACGGGAAAGGGTAGAACGTGCTGAAAGAGAACGTAAGCGGCAGCTTGAAGAGGCACGTTGCCAAACGCTGAAGGACAGAGAGGTCGACAAGGAAGTTGCCATAGTGAATGATAAGGCAGTACATCTCAGGAATGTGTATTCACCTGAAAGTAAGTACAATAATTATAATTAGATTTGTAAGTGTCGGACATTTCTGTTTCCAATTGTTTTTGTTATGTAACAAACTAATAATCCCAATACTTGCTTTCCATCGCATGAATAGAATTAAACTCATCCAATACTCGCATCGTGTCCATAGGGAACTGCAGCCGTGTTTCCATAATGAAATCCTTTTGTGTTTGCTGTCCGCAAAATTTACTCTTAAGAATGATGTGTTTTTTATTTTCAGTAACTTCATTATAATGTGCCGTTGTCTGCTCAATAAGCACATCAATTATTCAAAGAGTTTCACAAATTATTTGATCTTGATGGATGATAATGATTAGAAATTAGATTGTTTTGGGGGTCTGAAAACAAAGAAAAGTATCGAATGACTGGCTGGCTGAATCAATCATATCTATCTTTTCTTGAATTATAATAATAATAAAAAAAACATTCCTAAGGGTATTAGAATCTGGGTAGCAACAAAGAGAGTAAGTGATGATATTTCATATACTGATGAATCCAAATTGGTTGTCTGTTACAGTTACAATTAAATAAACACCATTATTGGTGATTTGTTTTTCAGAAGCAGAATATTTGATAGATTTTGTTCAGATTCAGTATAGTTTAGTGTACGACAAGCACTGTCTTGTGAGTTTCTTATTTCCATTACTGCGTTGAGGAGATAAGTTAATCCATTTTCCTACTCGTCCCTGTGGAGTGATTGTGCTTGCAGATTGGTTCAGTACATGTTGCTTAACAAAACACCAGACTGTATTTGTTATTGCTTTTGAATTATATTATTATGTGCTTCGCCAGCACTTTTGGTCTATTTATTATAAATAAATTAAAAGCAACCTTGACATTGGATTATGTGTATTGCCAGTATTTATTATTTATGTCGTAGATGTAGCAGGAAGTAAAAGCAGTCATACTTCTTTGGCTCACCGTGTAATTTAATTATGGGAAATCCACTCTCAATGTTTTTGGATGCATTACATACACTTACAATTAGAATATAATTGACTACAAATCTGCAGTTTTTCCTTCAGAGACCAATTCTGGAATAAGGATGAGCATATTTTAAATTATATGTGGGCTTTACTTTTAACCTTCAAATTCTTTGTATTTTATGCGTGATGCAAATGTTTCTGTTCGTGATTCTTTCAGGAAATAGTTATGATCAGGGAAGTACGTCAGCTCAGGACCCATTATCAGCTGCTCAAATGTTCCAGAGGCAGCATCTGAAGAAGCTAGAGCAGGAAGAGAAATGGCAGCTGAAGCAGAGACAGCTTAGAATGCAGAAGGAAGAGAGACAACATGACGTGTCACATTATCGCCACCACTTGTTGCATCAACAACAGGTATGAGATCAAATCTCTTCAATTGATATGTGATGAACAGCGCCCTCTGTAGGTGGAGTAAAGAATGTCAATGTTGGCCACTTTGGTTTGCATGTTGAGAAGAAAGGCTTAATTGAGTACGGTCTCGTTGGCTTTATGCTGTACATTATGCTGTATATATTTTATTATATTTGTATCATTAATCCAATGTTTCTCTTTCAGCATTTGGGTCGGCATCCACATATCAAAAAAAATGACCATGGGCATCGAGAAAGAGACATTATCCACAGAGAGCGAGAAGCACTACTGCAGCAAGACAGGAGTATATCTGAGAGGTACGAATCCTGAGTAATGTAAAGTTACACATCCAGTATGGGTTGATGAATAGTTTTTTTGATTTTCACATTCCACAATTTAAATGTGTGCTATTTTTTTCTTAGGTTTTGTTAAGGGGGAGTACCTTGAGTATGCACTCCTGCATGGCAAACGGGGATTAGCTTCCATACCTGCCTAATGGCCGTCTACTCTTGTGTTGTCATGCACTAGCCCTATCTCCTAGTTTTGTTTTTGCTCTCCCAAATAACAAATATACTTAAATCTTCCTTCCCAGCTTCTAATACTGTAAGTTTATTTCAGTTAGAGAACTTGTATGATGAATGTGAAGTAACATTTCATTGTTTATTTTCTCAGAAATGACCGAGATTTCCCAAAGCGAGAGCCTCACCAACCACATTCATTAATACCATCAAAAGCAATCATTGAAGAACCCTGGAAACATAAACTACCATTTGGTGAAAATAGACTCATGAACCACATGGAACACCATCAACAGCCCAGTCAATATACTTATGATCGGAGACCTCCTAATGAATACGAGGCATCACTTCTGCTTGAACGTGCACACACAAACAAAGAACGATCACATGATCAGGACAGGTCTGGTGGTAGTATTACTGATGCACATAAGGGTCACCATCATCCTCAACAAGAACAACAGCAACAGCAGCAGCAGGGATCAGAACTACATAAAGTTGTAAATCAGCTGGAAAGGGCTGAAAAGGAAGTGCATCTGAACCAGTATGATTATGATCATCCGCACGCTGAATTTAACTACCATCTCAACGAATTCTATAAGTCGCATCAATTTCGTGAACTTTACCAACTACATAATAATTTACTGAGAAAAGAGGAACGGGACCAAAATGTCGTAAGTACGTTGGATATGGAAGAAAAAAAGCGACGAGAAGCTCGACTCAATGGAACTTACTTCTCTAGTGACAGTGAGGAGAGCGATAGTGATAACGACGAGGATACAAGACGTGCCAGGCACCGACGACGGATGTTAAACTTGACGTCCAGACCCCCTATACAATTGGATACCTCAAATAAAAAGATGGAGTTGTTTGGAATCCTGGGACTAGCAACCCAAACTCAAAAAGAAGGTAGGCAGTGGAAATTAACATACTGATATGTATTGCATGATGACATGGTTTTTTCTATCACTGCTGTGCAACAGAACTGTTTTTTCACAGTAATATGACAGTTTAATAACATATAAGCATTGTTCTGTATAATTACGATTTCTATGTAGTTTTGACACTCGCGTCTGGTTATGTAATAACAGTTGTACTTGATATTACTTGTTCATACTGATGGAGTCATGGGCTGTACTATCCATGAACCTTTGCTACTCATTCATGACATGACATCACTCAATCAAATAATATTGAGTGATAATATCATAGAATCCAGAGACATACTGAGCCTAATGTCATAAAGATGGTGTGGTATTAGATTTAGAAAACTTGTTTACATTTTGCACACATACAAGTGCACAGTAGCTGCTTGACAAAAACCAGCTGTGCACAATAACTGGTTGACCAGAACCAGTAGGGCGCAGTAACAAGACCAAGACTCAACCAGTCTACTAGTACTGCTGTTAAGTGTGTGTAGACTGGTTCATAAAAAAAAAATCTGTCACAGTAGATCTTGCACTAATTGTGAAAAATGCTGTCTTGTCATGACCTCTGTACACATTTCTACTAGCATAATAACTCAAGCTGTGTGATGTTCACTCGTGATTGTTCATATTCATTGTTACTTATCATTGTTATCAATGTTACTTAAATTAGTTTCACTACATTCACAGAATGTGACAAGAATAGAAAAAGAAAAAGACGGCGCCTTTATAGAGAGCCCAGTTCATCACCACCGCCCAAAAGGAAAACACCTTCACCAAAGAAAAACTTGCTTAAACCTGCAGCAATACTTTCAGAGGAATTTGAAAAACTGCCTGATTTTGAAGAGAAGAGACAGTTCCTTTTTGAGATGGGACTTGAGACGGTGAATCCAGTCAGAAGGAGAGGTGGGCTATCTATTATACATTTTATTTTCAATCAGTTTGAAAGGCTGCATTAGTTTTTTTCGTTCTTTGTGAGTGGATATTGCTCAGTGTTAGTAGCGTAGAGCTGTGATTGGTTCAAAAATGATGGTGCTCATTAGTGATGCTGTGAGATGGATAAATTTAGATTCTGCTTTCATTAAACTTACTCAATACGTGAGCCTCATTCATGCTTTTTTAAAACACTCCCTTAGTCGCTAAAGTACACTTTCTAGAATTTAAATTGCTGAAACCCTTTAAGTCTTCAAGGTAATAATGCGAATTTCCAAAGTTGAATTTCTTTCTTATGAAATGGTAGGTTTTGAACTTGTTAAATTCTCGTAAAACTAAACACAAAATTAATGTTATTTTCAGAGCTTGCAAGACAACGACAGTTGTCTGATGCTGAGAAAGCAAGAAGATTGGGATTGACATCAGAAAATAGAGGATCACAAGGTGGGTGTTGGTTATCAGTGTCTACTAGTCATCGTAATCGCATCATTTGCGACAGTACATGTATTTCTGCAAATAGATGTCTTCATGTTTAATTGTCTTATTCTGTAGGTGTGTCTCCGAGCATAGCCTTACTCAAACAGCACGAGATAGAAAAATATGATATTGCACCACCTAATGACAGAATGGAGAAATTGAACCAAGTTTTCAATGATCGTGCTTACTTTACTGCCAGTGGTCCCCCTCGTCCTCATCCATTGCATCCCCATCACCTAGCAACAAATGCTGCTTCGCAACCTCATCATTCGCATCATCCCGTGCATCAACAAACTCAACATCAACCACAGGTGGCATCGAATCATCTGTCACCATCAGAAATGGAACTGCAACATAAACAACAACACAAGCAACAACAGCAACAGAAGCATCAAGTTTCACATCATAGACATAATGAGAAATTGATAGATAAAGAGTCAAGGACTAATGCTAGAGACTCTGTTATATCATCTGCATCATCGTCATCATCAAATAGAAAACCAGTTTTTAATACAAGTACTTTTGCTCAGGAATTCCATGAATCTGTGTTACAGTCAACGCAGCATTCAAAAATAGTTACCAGTCATCCTAATGAAAAAGCAGGTGAGTTTAATTCAAACTTTGAGCAGTACACCAACCATGTGCAATTCTGGATGGGTGACAAATGTTGTATTTTGTATATATCCCCACCAGCTATATCAAAAATTAAATGAAAAACTTTTTAAATTCTTTATTTTTTGTCCAAGCACTTTATTGCGGACATATAGCATTGATGATTTATGATGCAATTGTAATGTACTGTGAAATACTTTATTTTAGCTGGAATTAATTTTCGTTGAAAAGACTTTGGGTGTTTTCTATGGAATTTATTTTCACTGATTTTTGACGAGTTGAATATAAAATATAGGAAAAGGTATATTCGCTGGATTTTATTTTCACTGAATCATTCCTTCAGCGAAAATAGCGAAAATTAATTCCAAGTGAAAATATAGTATTCTACAGTCTTAGGGTTACCATGTCTGTCATTTTTGTCATCAACACTTTTTGTTCTATCTTTCTAAAACTTACAAAACTCATAGATATGTTTTAGTTTAGGCTTAGATTCACATTTCACGCATAAATCTTGTTGCACATGCACATAGTTCTCACACGTCATCATAATAAAACATTTCTGCAATTCCAGAAGCTGGACTGCTTTCAATTTATATGTATACATTGAAAATTGTGGGACTTAAAAGTGATCCTATTTCAGTTACACCTTTCAAGTTGTTTATTATTGTTTCATTAACAGTCAGTTACTTTTTCTCATAGTTCACTAGCAATCACAGGCAAGTACATTTTTAGATAATGTGGATAACCAATTTTTTGTTCTGGTTTCAGGTGATCGTAAAGCTATAACTCCTTCAACAAGTACGGCTCCTTCACTTCAGGGACGATTGGAGAATGGAGGTCTTAACAGTCATAGACACAACCTCCCACCATCTACGCCGTTATCTTCTTCTTCTTCTTCATCAGCGTCATCTTCATCAGCAGCAGCAGCAGCAGCAGCTACAACAGCAACACCAGCATCTACAGCAATGCATTCCAGTTCAATTGAACGTTTACAACAACTTGAAAGAGACAGTATGGTTGCTAGGGACGGTGCTATGCTACGAGATAACCATCTTATGCTCAGAGATGGTTTTCACCATCCTCTCCATCTGCCTCCTCCACCCCACCTTCCACATCCTAGTGCAATGAGAGAGAACCATGAAGGAAGGGAACATATGTACAGGTGGCCGGGCCTTGAGGTTCTTATGGAAGCATATCAAAGACATGTAGCAGGTATGTATGAGTGGAAGACACCTTTGAGTAAGAGGCAAGTAATATTTCTCGTCAGTCTTGAATTGCAGTGCTTCCTGCACCAAAATAAAAGCAGTTTTAGTAAAGTCAGCTAAACAAATTAGTAGCCTCTTAAGTATTTTACATTAGAGTGAAAGTAATAAATTATTCCCAGAATTAATTACCCAGCACACACACACAATTCACTGACATGGATCATGTGAGTTGATATTTACGTGTTGTAGCACTTTCAGGTCAGTGTGTGCTCCAATTTTAAGCTATGATTTATTTTTCTATAGAGCAAAGTATGGAGAGAGAGATACTTCGAGATCACATGCTAAGACTACAAAACCAGAATCAGGATCTTAACAGGATAGCTGATCACCTTCGAATGAGAATGTCGGTACGTAGCCAGTTCAACAATCGGTATTAGCCTCGTATTTGATGTAGTAAGTACTGTGTGTATAGGGTGTGGCTTTTAGAAGGGTTGTGGTTATACCACAAACTGTTGTTTAAGGTGACATGTTAAAACGTTGCTGTGATGTCTTGCATGTGTTGTAGTCTTGTCTGTCCTGTAGTGATACATTTTGTCATTGTCCTCGTAGCAGAGGATATGTATGTGTTTATGCATGTGTGTGAGAGGAAGCAGTAATTCTGTTCTTTTTGAATATTTTTAATTACTAGCATATATTTTCCTGTCAAAGGCCTACATAGTTTATATTATTAACTTTGAGGTAAACATACACCATAACTTTGACATCAGGGACAAAGATTACACTGACAGGGCCTTCAAATACTGTACCATACTTTATTTTCGCTTGGAATTAATTTTCGCTATTTTCATTGAAGGAATGATTCAGTGAAAATAAAATCCAGCAATTATACTTTTTTTCCTATATTTTACTATCAATTCATCAGAAAACAGTGAAAATTAATTCCATACAAAATACGCAAAAAGTCATTTCAGCGAAAATTAATTCCAGCTAAAATAAAGTATTTTACAGTATGTAAATTGCAGAAGTCATAGATGTATTTATTTCATGTTGGATGCAGGACATCAATATCCTGATTAAAACAATGACAAAAGAGAAAGAAAGGGAATCCGCAAATAATCAACTTATTGGAGTTCAAATATTAGTACAGATGTGTAACTGGTTACCAAATTTAAGTATTTGAAAATTATTGACCTTATGGCTATTTCCGATATTTGACACTACCTCTTTGATCTTGTTTTTCATTTATTTGATGAAAATTTCACTTGAAGCAAAATATCCATAATGTGTAGAGTCTTTAAATTGACTGCATGTTTTACTGTTTAGTCCCAGCTATCCTTAATAATATTAAATGGACCAATTTATTAATGAATTAGAAAACGAAAAAGATAATTTGGTACATTTTGTAATTCAGTTGCGATATTATTAAAAACTAAATGGGAGATGTTCTAAACTAATGTACATAAATTCTCTAATGTTATTTTGTAAAACAAACCATGTTTGCTTGGTGACAACATTTTCTCTTGTCATTGTGAATCAAGTTTTGCATTTAGCTGAAAGTTATAGGACTGTATCAGGCAAATCTAGGTCTAGGAAGTTAGTTGCGAGTACCTACTTGCATTACTGCCCAAAAAACCTTGTTAGTAAAATTTTTGCCATTATCTGCATTTATCTCGTACATTTTGGAGATACCAAGAGTGAAAATTAAGTCATACCAGCACCCAAAACATTACCTGTCAATTTTATAAATAAAACTAACGGTGAATAAAATAATAAAACTAAGGAATCGTAACACTGTAAATGTTTAACTGGCAGATTGTATTGTTCTTTTCACATGAAATATTTAATTGTCTATTAAATTGTCATCGGAACAAACAAGAATTACTACTAGTTATAATAAATCTGATATTGTAGCGTTACAAGTAGGAATGTATGGCTTCATAACATGATGTACTTATTTTACACATGACGCCATTTTTTTCCTTAAAAGTTGTTCAAATGCCAAAAGTTGTTTAAATGCCAAAACATTAATGTCAACGTATGTATATCAATATCTGTTACTTACTTATTGAAAATGTTGGTGGGCAATGTTAAGATTCTTGAGATATGTCCCTTGTATGTACAGTACCTGGTGTTATCAACAGTTGCGAAATGTATCTCATGTGTATATACATTGCTAGGAGATTAAATCTGGCTACTTTGGGAATCTATATCCCCCATTGAAATAATGAATTCACTAAGACAGACTGGAACAGAATGTAATAAAAAACCGATAAAGAATTTTTGCAGTAGCGTGAGGGAAACTTGTTAGCATAGCGGAAAAGGAAGGCGTTAATCTAAAAAAAGGAAGGGAATAGTGACGTAGATCTGGCTTATGTATGTAGATAGTCAATTTTTTTTTAATACCCTTGAAGCATGTTTATCTAGAAGTTATTCTTTACTGCTAAGCAGTATGCGTAACAATTGCTGAGTTATTCATATGGTGATTGACTGACTGCTGCTATAAATGAGAAACTAGGAAAGGGTTCTTGAAGTATGAAACAAAATATTGGTTTTCTCTAAGGAGCTGAGAAATACACAGTATTTTATTCTTTGCGTAATGTTCAAGATATTGCGTTTCCATCCATGCCAACTGAACAAGGCATTTAATTAAACACAAGTAGATTTATAAATTCGCAATCCTTTGTATACATCAAGCAAGAATCCACTCATCCAGAGTTAGTGTGTTTTTTTTTTTCAATAGATTACACTCCCCTGTGTTGGTGACTTTGTAACCATGTTCGGAACTGTAAATAATTAATCATATTCATCAGTTCAACATAAAGAATTCAAACGCTTTGAGTATACAAAGCATGCTTGGTATCACACGTTGCTTTTACACAATAACACGTGAAGCGTGATGATAGTCTGTTATACTCGTCTCCTGGGGATAGGTGTCTACTATTTACTCCCCAGCTATAAGGTTGAGGTGTCTATAGAGCCAAAGGGGATGGGGAAAAAACATGAAAACCTTTTTTATCAAGTGTATGAATATTTAATGTCGCTTGATTATATTTTGTATGTTTATCTTTCATTTTGTACTACCTGATTACGTCCTTTTTTTTTAAATGGATGAAAAGGAAAGAGTAATATGGTGTGACATTTCTGCCCGACATTAACAATTTTTTTTACAAATCAGGCTTGTTCACGCAGCTAAATTCTAGCTCTGTTGTTCTTTAAGACCTTTTCAAATTATCCCACTTTTATATATAGATTACAGTATGTATGTATGTATGTATGTATTATGTATGTGTGTGTGTGTGTGTGTGTGTGTGTGTGTGTGTGTGTGTGTGTGTGTGTGTGTGTGTGTGTGTGTGTGTGTGTCTGTCTATGGTGTTGTCTTTTTTCACATGGGTGAAATATAATCGACAGGTGCATTGTGGGATTGGGCTGATGGTGATCGTAATGTTTTTTGTTGCTCGTGCTATGCCCTTGAGACTTGCATGTGTAGTTGTTCATTGCTAGCATGTGTTCAGCTCTTTCAAAGTGCGCTGCCTTACATTGTTTCATATCATCATTTGCTTTTCAGTATTACTACTATTGAAAACAAGCTAGCAGTTGAACCACCCTCGAAGCAGAGAAGGTACGCAAATACAGTCATACACTGAATTTGGCTGACCAAATCAAATTCCTTCATGGTTGTCAAACAAACAAAAATCCCCTACAAAAAATAAAGATGTCAGTTTTGTTTAATTTCCTCCCAAAATCCTGTGTTGAATTTTGTGTTGTATTATCTCGTGTATATTTCTGTAAAACCCTAGAAAACTCATGCTGTCGCTCTCTGCTTCTGAGGCTTATGTTTAATCAACCCATTCCATAATTACCAATAGTGTTTTGTGTTTTAACTGTGTTTTTTTTGTGTGAACCCTATGTGTTTTATGTTTAGGTAGGTATATGTGTGTGTTGTTGATGGCACCATGAGACAACCACTTCACTCTTGTTTGGGGCAAGTGATAGTATATCTTAAAGTAGGCCACAACTTGTCTCATCTCGTCTTGAAATGATTTCAAACAAAACAGCAAGATTCTAGCTGTGTTGGGTGGAAATAGTTCTCAAATATAAAAGTATGATGTAATAGTTTTGTGTATTGGTTTTATAACCGAACCAGGTCCATTTATTTTGTGTCATGATGTTGATGAATTAAGTAACATAAATATATTAACAATTATAAAATAATTTTTCCCTTCTAGAAATATTCAAATTTTTTTCATACTGCTTATCAAACATTTACATAATGAAACATGTCTTCTATTATTAATTTGTTTGCAGTTGTAATTGGAATTGTCTTGTTTAATTCTTTATCTAAATTGAGGTCCAAAATATTAGAGCTTTGGAGAAATGTACCCATCATCCTATTGTATTCTGTGCACAGTGTGACAAGCACAATGCTGCAAAGATTCCATCCACATTTGCTTGTCTCTGTAGTGTGATTGAGTTGTGAACATGAATCATGTTATTACTTACGTGCAATTTATAATGACATTATCTCAGCTATTCTGGATTTAGTTTGAATAAAAGCTGAGACAGTTTTTGAAGTACCTACCACTGTTTGAATTCTGAATTTAAGTTAGAAGGTCTTACATTAGGGCATCAAAGCTATCATCAGTCTTTGTAAAATCCATTTCAGTCTGAGCAAATTAGTACAGACTACTGCTAGGTAATTTTTACAGCTCTCAGGTTTGAATCTGCTTTAAACAGGTAGTAAAAGGAAAAGGGTGTTAGATGTCCTAAAAGTGTGAGGATGTCAGATTTTAGAAGTCTTATAAATTTCTAGAGATGAGTTTTTTTCTTCCTTGATTGCCTTTGCTTCCATGCATGTGAAAAGGAATATTAAATTTTCGTTTTTGCAATCTATTTGGACAAAATATTATTGATATCATCTTGATATCCATTTTTATATATCTGTAAGATGTTTCTGAGGGAGATCATACAAGTATGTCATAAGTCAAAAACTGGTTATAATAAATAAGCCCTTTCTGTGGTAGCAACCATCGAACACTCTCCAGGAACTTTAAACTTGTATATTTTCACTATGTTAGTGTATATGTATCAATGTTCAATCTGTGTTTTATACAAAGAAAATAAAACTGTACTTCCTTTACATTGCAGGACTTGGGTCACTCACAACACGAGATGGAAGAAGAACGACGTCGATGTCAGGGTGCTCTTGACACGCTTAGAAAGTGCGTTAAGCAGATCGTTTGAATGCTCACTTGTTGATTCCTGGGTAAAGCCAAGCTAAGAAAGCTGCCATGACATGAAAGGTTCACCTATTTTCATGCCCATGGTTATTATATACTCGCCCAGTAAGAAGTTGGATGTTTTTATACAATGCTGTGGCTGCTGCCCGGACGTTTTATTGTAAAAAGAACATAAGATGCTATATCAGCCACTGGGTAAAGTGATTGGAGCACTGCCATTGGTTGAAAATGATTTAACATTCAGACAGTGAAACAATTTGAGGAAATAATTTACCAACAAACATTTACTGACTTTGAAGTTCCTCTCTATATTGAACCCTTTGAGGGCGCCCTTCTCTATAGTTCATCACTGCAAGTGTTTAGTTCTTTCAGAATGCAGGGTTTTAAGGAAAGGCGCTTGAAAGCTTTAATTTGTCAAAAAAAATGCTGCAAATAAACAAATGTTGTGATTCACTTTTGAAAATAAAATGCAAATCATGACTTTCGAAGAAATAATTGTGGATAATTCGGAAGTTTTTATTGTGGATGCGTTTATTTTGTTGATGGGACCAGAATTGTAACAAATTTTTTTTTAACTTATTTAAATGCAAATAAATGAAATGTACACATTGGGTATTATATAAATATAGTGTCACAAGAGTAAGCTGTTGCAGATGGCTAATGAGGGGGGGGGGATTTATAGATGTGACGATGTTTAGAGAGAGACGTAGAAGCAATACCGACATACAATGAAATTTTTAGCAAGCAAGGTAAAAAAATCATGTCAAACTTTAAGATACACAAATCTTTTATTGGATTTACATGCTTGTAGATATTTCCATAAAAGTGAAATAAATGATAATTTAAAAACAAAAAAAATAAGATAACCATTGTTTTGTAGATATTCAGTGAATTGGTTGGAGTAGTATTGTTATTATCCTGTGGAATATTCTATTTGTTGCCTTAATTTATTGTCACTCTAAACTGGTGGATAAAAAGACTTATTTTCTAGATTAGTATTACTTTTTACTGTTATTTAAAGCTTTAAGTATTGGGACAAGAAATTGTTGCACTTGTATAGAGTGCCTTTTAAAGATTGACAGATTAATATTAAAGTTTTTTTTATGTCCAAGAATACATTGCGTTAGTTTTGTCTTCTGTGTTGAAACAATGGTTGCCCATATTAAGCACTTGCTATGCAAGTGCCAAAGGATTACCCCATATCAAGTGTTATTCCGCACCAGAGCCCTGAGATTGTCCTATATCAAGTGTTACTCTGTACCAGAGCCCTGAGATTGTCCTATATCAAGTGTTACTCTGTACCAGAGCCCTGAGATTGTCCTATATCAAGTGTTATTCTGTACCAGAGCCCTGAGATTGTCCTACATCAAGTGTTATTCTGTACCAGAACCTGGGGACTGGTCTATATCAAGTGTTATTCTGTACCAGAACCCAAAGGGTACCCTATATCAAGTGATATTCTGTACCAGAACCCAAAGGGTATCCAATATAAAGTGTTATTCTGTACCAGAGCCCAAAGGGTACCCAGTATAAAGTGTTATTCTGTACCAGAGCCCAAGGGTTGCCCTATATCAAGTGTTATTCTGTACCAGAGCCCAAGGGTTGCCCTATATCAAGTGTTATTCTGTGCCAGAACCCAAAGGTTGCCATATATCAAGTGTTATTCTGTACCATAACCCAAGGGTTACCATATATCACGTGTTATTCTGTACCAGAGACCAATGGTACCCAGTATAAAGTGTTATTCTGTACCAGAGCCCAAGGGTTGCCATATAGCAAGTGTTTTTCTGTACCAGAGCCCAAGGGTTACCCTATATTAAGTGTTACTCTGTACCAGAGACCAAGGGTACCCAGTATATAGTGTTATTCTGACCAGAGCCCAAGGGTTACCAT